AGGTCGCTATTGCGAAGGTCGAACACGGTCATGGGAGCTTAAACAACAAAGACTGCCGGCCAGTTGACACAAAAATCAGAAAATCCAGTGATCCTGAGTCGCTCTGGAGGTGTTTTTCGTGTTTATATAATAGTGCGAATTTTTACAGTAGTGCTGAGGAACTGACGGTTCTTCAGGAGCTATCCAAACCTGCCTATTACGGGTGATATTTTTCAGTTGGCTGCATAGCAAAATACTTGTACCGCCGAGCTGATTCTAATTTTTCCGGAAGAATATTCCAAGCTGTTTTTTTTTTTCACTTGCCGTTTCTTTATTTGTTCAGTTGATCGATGCTTTCTTTGATTCCGGATGTAGGGAGTTTGTTACTGTTTCAGCGGTTCTATGAAAACTAACGATGACAAGAAGCAATATCAAGAGATCTTAGCAGAAGTGGCCTACTACTGCTGTACAGAATGTAGCGAATACAAGGTAATCAGTAAAAATCCTTTATTTGGCACAAAAAATTTGTTATCATCAACTAGTGCTGTGCAGTACTTAACAACGAAGTACAGTCTCGCTAGCACAGTGACTGCCAACTCCACGTCGGCAGTGCTGCAAATGCAGATAATCGTGGTTTGAAAAAGGAACGTCAAATAATAATTTTTGGTTATTGCCATTCTTTTTTTTCTTTCTGAAACTGTTTCTGGAGTGCCAGCAGTATTAGCTAGTCGTTCAGATTTGTTAAGGTAAGCGGCATTATTAACGGGTAACGCTGGTCCACAAACATACCTCAACAGAATCAATGCATCAGCATTAACGAATTGCTGGGTTATTAAACCTTTATCAGTATACAAAACTCAGTACGTGACATAAGTATCGGCATAACATGCGTACTCAACAGAAAAAGCATAAAACCAGAAAACAGTGTAGGCGGTCGCAGTATAGTGAGCGAACGAAGAGATTAAAAAGTTTTTTCAATCGTTTACCAAGAATCACAAATTGAATCGATTCGCTTGATACAGACTGATATCACGCTTAATACTTATTGTTGGCTGGATTTGATAAGGGCGAGCAATTCGAAAGTTGACAGGAGTTACTTGGGCGGCTCCGGTAGCTAAAAATAGCTTAGACAAAGTAGCATAGCGAGATTATTAATTTAAAATGGAAAATCAGGCGCAAGCATTGTGGTTGATTAGGCGCACAAACGGGCTCAAAGGTGTCTTTAATTGATGATAAGGCAGCAGCAAACTGCATCGTTAATTAGGTCGTCGGAAAGGGAGCAGCCCTGGTTACCGATTTTAAATACAGTTAAAAATAAGAGGTCGTAGAACAGGTGTAGATTAGTAGTGTTATTGTTGGTCTGTCAGTATTAAAGCCCCTCCGCCCCCCCCGCTCTCCCACCCCTTGCCCCCCGCCCCTACTCCCCCCTCCCCTTTCCCCTAAACCGTCGTTGAATACATGGTTCACTTTCAAAGACCTGTGTGGGAAAGTATATAATAAGCACTTGGAACACAGAGGAAAGTACATAATAAATAGCAACGCGCACCAGACTAGCCGGTGCGATCATGCGTTTTGTGCAATTCAGCCCATCGAACGATTGCTTGTTAATGATTTTCACTGCTTTGTACATA